TTTTTTTTGTCTGATTTCAAGCATTCGTAGGCTAAGCGATATAATAAAATATGAACTGTCTCGTCTTTTAAAGACTGACTGAAATATTTGCTTGCAAGTTAGTTATTAAAATATATGTATGCATTTATTTATGTACATACATAGGTATGTACAGATATATATAGAAACATTTGTATGCTTGTACATATATCCATATAATTTAAGTTAGCACTGACACTAATCGTTAAATGATCACAAAACCCTTTTATTTCGACTGTCATGCGCAGAGAAATACCCGAACACGAATCAATATTAAAAGCACTGTAAAAGCACGTATACACACACACACGCTAGTGATAGTGTGTGGAGAAGATTAAATTTTCTTTTATTTTTAATTTGATTTTTTTTTTGTTGTTCACTCATTCGATGGCGAAAAATCCGTTGAAGTAGCACCGTTGCTATCGCGTATCGCGCAACACTGAGACGATCAAGTAAATTGAATTTTTCAACAACCTGTCATTCAAAAGATGCCAAAAACAGTAACAAACGAAACGAAATACTAAATGAATTCACATACAAACAACAATCAGCGTATATCTACACATGCACATAGCAGACATACGGTGTCAGCGGTAGCAACAGCAGCTTCAGTTGCAGCAAAAAAAACCCAATCACATCTTACTACATACAGTGGCGAAAATATAAATAGGGATGTGAAATTTTTGGCATTATTTGGCTTTTGTGTTTTTTATGTTTATTATTTTTTTTCTTGAAGCTCGTTATCTGAAAAAAACCATGCATGTAAGTAAAAATTTCAAAATTTGTGCAAAAATTACCAAAATTCTACAAAGTTTCATAAAAATTTGGAGCTTTTCAATAAGGTTTCTTAGAAGTATTTTGACTATGCAGTTTTCTAGCCCAGTCAATTTTAGATAATGAAAATTTTAAGTAACTAGGACTCAGCATTAATTTTTTTTTCAATTTTTTTTTGAGGAAGGTGTTGCTCATTTTCTCCATACAAAACAAATGTCGATCGTACTTTGTATTAGAGATGACGTTTTTAAATCGACTGGATCGAAGATCGATTAATTAATTAATCGATTCGAAAAATTCGAGAATCGACATTCGATATTTTCTCAAATTATTCATATCGCAATGCATGAGAAAATCTAGAATGTTTTAAGGAAATATAATTTTAAGGTTGGTAGAAAAAATGGAAATTAATTCTTTTTAATCTGATTTTTAGACTATAAACAAATAACAAATCAACGAAGGGTCTTAGAAATTAATTATATTATCTAGAAACATTTTTTTATTGCGCATTCATTTTTAATATAACACTCCACCAGTTTCTAGGGACTACAAAATATTAATGATTCATCGCTTTTTT